ATTATAGCAACACGGTTGTTGCCAAAAGTAAGTAAACTAAAAGGCAAAATTGTATTGTTGTATCTTATTCTTGTAATAATGATGTACATATTTCAGTTAAGTGCATTAAATGCATTACCCTTTCAGTGTGAATAACATTTGAATTAAGCTGCATTGTTTTCAGATATGGATAAAACCTCTTAAGACATCATTACAAAGGAAATATCACACTTTTCCCCACCTTTCTGCTAAAGGCAGCCATGAAGTTGAGTGGAAGCGACCTGGAAAAAGGGGGCTGAAGCAAATGCTTGTGGGGTGTGGGAAAGTGAAGTGGCTACATTTTTTTGCAGTGACATTGTGTGACATACAAAGTCTTTTATGTTAGCATATTTGGTTAAACTACTAAAGAGCAGCATTCAAAATGCTTCATGACACCTACATAAGGCTTCATTACAGCTGACAAAAAACCTACAAAACCTTTTAAAGGCATATTCCAATAAACATCGCTTGACATAAAGGCTGCTTTTGTCCATTTTCATGTCATTTCACTTCAGCCAACTTATGTTTGTTGGAATAAGCTTATAAACTTCTAAATAGGTTTATGTATGTTGTCATGAAAGCCACTGTGAAGCCTGAAACACTGGTCTTCAGTACAGTGTTACAGCATGGTTAAACTGGCTTTCTCTCACACACACAGACCAATTTGATATTTTGCCATCTGTATTTCAGCAGAACAGCAATAGTCTTTTGTTTTTACTGTTTTGTTCATGGCCCTGTAGAAATACAGTTATTAACATCAACATAAAATCCATTTATTTAGCATGTCTGTTCCCTGAGTGGTATCTACACTCATTCCTAGCGTGTAGAAACGAAACTCATTTCATTACGGCTGGCGTAACACAGTGCATTTGCAATGCTTCAGTTAGTTGGGTTTCATGGGTAACGATACCTTTGGTTGGTACATATCATGGCAAATTGAAATTCAGCCTTGTTTGATACATGATTTCACACTAGCCTTGTCAGGAGCAGCTATGGATGGTAATTATGCCTGAATTTTTCACTTTGCTCTCTCACTGATTGTTGAGTCCTTATTGTCATTTTTTAATTTAATTTTTCTCCTTTTTCTGCACCAAATTATGGTATAAGCTTTCTCGCTTTTGATCAGTTCTGTAACGGAGTCATTTTAAGATGAACAAGAAAAATAGTTTCTCCATTCTTTCTTTGGAAAGATTGTATTCTCAAGAATGCATAAGTGAATCACATATCAGTTTGTAGATCTGAAACGTTTTTCACTCTGTGTGTTCTGAGGCATCCAGCGAAAACCTGGAGAATTTATGCATTGTAACTCCTGGCAATGATACTGACTTTAAAATAACACAGGTGTACCCAAATAGTGATTGCAAACGGTGCCTAATGTCTAAAGAAAATATTAAATCTATTTACGCTTGGTTAATTTCACAACAGTAGGGTTGTAAGTGAGCAATGGAAATTATTGTTAAGTGTTTTATCCTCTGGTAGTATCAGTCAATAAAGAGGAATAGGCATGCTCATTCTTAACCCTCGAAAGTTGCAGTCATCTCCATAATAACAAAAGCAGGGCTGTTTTTTCCATACGCATTATTTCTCACTTACAGCTCATTCTCACTCCAGGCATATTCCGTGAAATTCTCAACTTTCAATCAATACAACATTTGTGTTTGTAAGTAGAAGAGGAGAGATTTTATTCTGATTTGAATTTGATGAAAAGTTATTGTTATGTGCACAGTGTTGTTTTGCAGAAAAAAAACATCCTTTACATTTTTGACAGCCAAACAAATGGAAGGAAGTCAGAAGTGCAGACTCAAATCTGTCAATACAAAATGGAAATTGAATGTAAATGTAACTCATTGTGTAAGGCACTATGTAATTAAACACATATGTGAATAGTATACAACAGTAATAACTCTCGGCTTGTAAGGGTTAAAGTGCGCACTGGGGTGCTGTGTGTTTTGGGTCTAACAGCAGGTGACTTGAATGCAGTGGTGTGTGTGTGTGTGTGTATGTGTGTGTGGTTTGGGGCTGCGCTGTTGTCAGATTGCAGTGTGGATGGCGGTGTGTTGGGGGTGGCAGCAGGCAGCCTGATGGCTGCGAAGCGTGTATGTGTGTGTGTCAGGGGAACGCTTCGCTGCTTATCCAGGCCGCTGTGGAGCCTGCTGTGCCTGGCTACCGTAGGCTATTGGCAGGAGGCTGCAGGGCACAAGGCAGAGAAGTGTGTTTGTCTGTGTGTGTGTCTGTTGGGTTGGGGGGTGTTTTGGTGTCTGTATGTGTTATTGTCTGAGGCACATGAAGCTTGGAAGGTGTTTGTGTGTATTTATTTACTTGGTTTTCTTATGTCATATATATATATGTATGTGTAAAATTTGGGGTGTTTTGTTGATTTTTTGAAGTAAAAATAAGTACATGTCCACTATAGAAAAAAACAGTTCTTCACACACTTTCTACACAATTACTGTTTATTTGCTAAATGTAATATAGTGAAGGAAACATAAAATGTGGACTGTGAAGAAATTATGGTGCAATGACCTGTGCATTAAACTATTAAAACAGAAATTGTCCACTAAAATTTACAGAAAAATGCTGTACGTTTGTTTCCTGTGGAGTTAAATTATTTTCACTTAGAAAATCAATAAAACAGGTAATTTAAGCAGCAGAACAGGTCATTTAAGCAGCAAGCTATTCAAACTTTTTTGATATTTTTGTCTGTTATGGTATATGAAACCTGTATTTGTATGTACCAATGCATTTCGGGGTCTCTGTGTATAACAACCGCATGGGACATGGATAGAATATGTGGCCATGCTTGAGTGTGTGCGTGCATGTGTTGACGAGGTGTCAGGCCAGACATGTCTTCTCCCCCTGGCTAGCACTGGCCCTCTCCTCCTCCACTTCCATCACCAATCTCTTGCTGTCTTCATCCTTTCTTCCACTCTTTTATTTGTCCCTTTAGTCCCCAGGCATATTAGAGGGACATGAAGGTGGGAGAGAGAGATACAGAGAAGGGGGCACGGGATTGAAACAGGGACAGAAAGAGATGAGGGTTGGAAGAGACAAAAAAAAACAAAACAAAAGAGAGAGAGTAAGGGAGAGAAAAAGATGGAAAGAGAAAGAGAGGAATGTTGGAGAGGGAGAAAGAAAAAGAGAGAAAAAGATGATGGCTGGAAGAGAGAAAGAGAAACAAAAAAGAGAATGAAAGAAATTGAGAGAGAGAGAGAGAGAGAGAGAGAGATGTGGTGGAGGGTTTGACCTTTCCCCAAATCTCTCCTTTTTCTGCTTTTCCGTGCCAGTGGTCTTGGCCCAGACAGGCTTGGGGGCAAGAGCAGACTCCCTGCCTCTCACACTGTGTGTGTATGTGTATGTGTGTGTGTGTGTGTGTGTGTGTGTCCTTGTATTGTTGCCTTCCCATGGTATCAGAAGTACAGAAAGAGTGAGCAGCACAAGAAAGGAAAATCAAGGGGCAGAAACAAATTTCAGAAAGTAGTAGAAATATATAATGACTAGAATGAGAGCAAGATACAAAGAAAAAGAAGCTAAGTTGATATGAAAGTCAGGCAGATAAAGAAAGAGAAAGCCAGGAAGACAGAGATGACAGATGTACAAGAAATATTGAAAATGACCTCATATGTTTGGAACAAAGTATCACTCAATAAAGTGTTAGTAATAAAAATAAAATGTAGCTATTTAATGTAGCTAACAGTTAATGGAAACAAACCTTTGAGTATCATACAAACTGCATTCCTAAATCATCACACGTTTGACTTTTTTTTGACAATATGTCTGGTTGGTAATTAATTTTAAAGAAATTAATCGTTGGCATTACCTCACAGCTTCAGTACAAAACTAAAACTGACTGTGGCCTGATTTCTTTGGAAGATTCATCGTCCATTTTTCTGTGTTTCCTCTCTTTCCCTTTGCTCACATTTAACATATGAACCTGTGTATAGATTTCTTGAGAGGTGCTACATAGGCAATATGATTGGGTGCTGTGACACCATAGTGACGAGAAGTCGATGCTAGGGCAGTGTCATTATATTGGTAAATTGGGTCAAACAGGTTCAAAGTTCACTCTCCCTGGAGCCATGTGACCTCTTGACCAGAGATCATTCTGGCTTTGCACAGATGAGCAACAGTGAAGGGGCTGTGTGTGTGTGTATGTGTGTGTCTCTGAATAGGCCCTAAAGGGTCAAGCCAAATGGCGTGTCCATTTCCAGCTCAATGTGTCAAAGGGGTTGAGGTTCTGAAATGATCTAATTGACCAAAGTAATTGGAAATATCCCTTAAGGAAGTCGTTTGCTGCTTTATTGTGATGTAGTAGAGACGTTACATGTTCTGTAACCATTCTTAGAAAAGGTCTAATGAAATTCAATGCTGCTGTGCTTTTAGAGTTGGCTACTTTAGAGATGTCTGGCCTCAGAATGACTCAATTCACTTCACCATGAAATCTCAAAAATTAGTTTGATGGCACTTTGCTATGAGTAAAGTAGGCTGCACTAAATAAACAAATGTAGTGTAATATGGACAATAAAAACAGTAAACCATTTTTTGGGTGGGGGTGGTTTTTATATTTGAAAACACCTTGAAGATTTAATTTTGGACAAAAATTAATGCGTAGTTTGTTGTCTGTTATAATACATTTTATATAATACATTTTATTATTTTGCAATCAGTTCAGTTCACTACCTTCAACGTGCCACAATGTATCAATGCATTTTTATACCCCTATTCACGACGTTTAAGAAACACACAAAAAATATTTATTTGGATATATTGAGTACACACTGTAAAAAGTGAAAAAGGGTAGAATTTACCTGAGCTGATATTTGATTGATTGAACTCAAATAACCACATAAAGCACACATTTTCATCTGAACACCAAAACATTATTTACAGTGTGTTCAAATATTAGACATTTGCCATTGACATAAGAGCAATGCAATGTAGCTCTTTTAAACTGACACTGTCTTTCTCTCTCTATCACCTTTCAGATGTGGATCTCTCTCAGAATAAAAGTGGAGGAGGAGGTGGAGCGGGGACTCCAGGGCCTGGGGGTGCAGGTCCTCACCTGCAGTGTCTGTCCGTCCACTGCACAGACGAGCTGGGAGACCCTAAGGGTCGCGGTGGGCCTGTCCCATCCTGGCGCTCCCTGCACTCAGACATCTCCAACCGCTTTGGGACCTTCGTAGCAGCGCTGACTTGAATGTTGGATATGCGAGGATGAAGATGGGTTGGACTTTGGACCTTTGTATTCTAGCCTATGTGTGGAGAAAGGAAGGACGAATCTGGATTGTGATAACATGCTGAGATGAACTTGTTATGCACATGGACATCATATTCATGAACACACATACACACATGTATACACACATACATTCACACATGTATCCTATCGGTGAACAGGACAGCGTGGCTGAGTTGAGTTCACCACAGGAAAACCTCAGACTTCTTTTCTCCGTTTTTTTGGTCAGGAACTTTTATTTCTGGTTTTCTTTGAATTTGTAGAAAACAAATAAATATGGAAATATACGAACTGTTTGTGTGGGAAGTGGAAGAGAAGAGAAGGAAAAATAAACAATGTGCCCAGCTGTGTTGGTATACCAGTATTAATTTGCTTTTCTTCATCCCTTAATAGTCATTCCTCTAGCTCTTTTACAGTTGTGAATCTGAATCTGATCTGGGGTTTTTCCCTGGTTTGCCAAAAAAAAACATGGTGCACCTCCCCACCCAAAGGGCAGGTAATCCCATTGTCAACAGGAGGCACAAGAGCTTCTTTGAAATTTGGCCTCTTTGAGCCACTGTAGTCTTGCAGACCCTGAAGACCAGGAGGCTGCCCTGTGGGTTACTGGGAAAAGAAAAAAAATTGAAAGAAATGGGGAAAGTCCATTGAGGTGGTATTTCGGGAAGGCTCACAATGATGTTCTATCATCTACCAACCATCCCCCCACACACACACTCCTGAACACACAGCCCACCCCAACCCACAAAGAACGTCCATTTAAGCCCCCTCTTTTTCCAGTTCTTTCAGGGTTTTCTTGTGTTTCAGTGCTTTCAGTGTTATTTTAGTAAATTTCCATTTTCTTAACACTTGTCAGTCTAGTTTATAACTTCCTCTCATCCTAAGAGCTTGTTAACATGCCTCAATACTGGTGTACCAGACAAAGTGGGAATATACAGTAACATCTTGAGATGGAAAATGGTAAACAAAACAAATGAACAAAAAAGTATTGGTATTGCACATGTAAAATAGGAGAAACTTTTGCTGTGTGTTAGGCAATCTTGTAATCTTTAAAGAAAATGCTTCAGTTGACTTTGAATCTCTGAGAACTAGTAGATGGAGGGCAGCAAATTGCAGAGGTCATTTTCTTAGTTTTTGTTGTTTGTTTTATTTTCTTTTTTAAAAATAATATGTAAAGTGCAGTTGTCTGTTTTCCTGCATATTGTATATATATGTATATGTTTTATTGAGTAACTAAATAACAATAAATATGACGTTAATGGTGAAATCGGTTTTGAGATGTCTTATTTTTGCTTACAAACACATTTAGACCCAATTTAATACTTCTTGTTAAACGCTTAACAGAATATTGGATGAAACATTTATGAAATATTATAAAGTGGTTTGGACAAGTTAGATCTATATGTGTATGTATATGTATGGAGGCAGCATGCTAATTGGCCAATGAGTTGGCAACAGCCTTGTGAGTTTGTTTACAAGTGGCATAAAGGGATTTAAAAAAAGAGATATCAATAAAACTCTCCTACACTCTTAAAAAAAGATGGTTCTTCAAGGGTTCTTTAGTAAATAAAATGGTTCTATATAGAACCATGAACACTCAAAGACCCCTGTGCATGATTAAAGAGTTCTTTTCATTATGAAAGAATTCTTCAGACTGATGGAGAATGTGCTGTAGATGGTTCTAATAGAACCTCTTTGAAAATGGTTATATATAGAACCCAAAAGTGTTCTGCTATTGTTACGATGTCAAGCTTGTGTCAATAGAAGAACCCTTTTCAAAAATGTTCAATGTAGAACCATATACAGCACATTCTCCATCAATCTGAAGAACCCTTTTATAATGCAAAGAACACTTTAATCACGCAAAGTGTTCTTTGAGTGTTCTAGGTTCTGCATAGAACCATTTTCTTTACTAAAGAACCCTTAAAGAACCATCCTTTTTAAGAGTGTAAGCTGAACCATACTGATGTCTATGCTAATGGAATCATTGAAATGAATTTTACTTCACTGAATGTCTTATCCTCTTTAAGAACTTTGTTTTACTGTAGATTCTGACTACATTTTTTTTTTTTCAGAATTTTTTACAAGGTACCGGAACTATCAAACAATTAAAATAAACATGATTCATTGCATTAGTTTGTATAGTTAATTGGAATTAATTGCTCTTGTCATATTTGCTCTAATTTGACCCTATTTAAAAAAGACAAAGACAGACAAATCCACAGCATTGCAACAGCTGGAAATAACTTAAGAGACCCATCAGTGAAAGCTACCGTTTAAAAGATGTATTAAAATGAGAGGGCTACAGTGGCAGAGTCATAGCAATGGCATAGTATGCGGGCAGGCTTCAGGCTGGAACTACAAATGGTTTGAGGGGTAGAACTAGGAAAATGTGTTAACAGTGAAAAAAATCGGTGGCATTAATAGTTTATTGCATTAATGCATTATTGACTTACCTTTGACACCACTACAAGGTACCAAAGATTGATAACCATTGATAATAATGAGAAGTAAATCCTCAGTTTGTTAAAAAGGCTACATTAAGTGTGTTGGGAAAATGGATACGTGTGAGGCTATGTAAGTGGTCCAGTTATAACAAGTTGTGTGGGCTTCACTGTTTTTTTGAACATTAAGGCTTTTTGAAACTGTGCAGCAGTTTCAAAAAATACTTAGATCAAAATAACTCCAGCAAAGTTAATTTCAGTTCAGTTCCCGGTGTCATAATTACTTGTAGTACTGCACTTTTTTTTTGCTTATTCTATATTCTAATTCTAAATAATTGTGTTTCTGCATTGGGAAAACCCAATTCAGCCCCCATATCTGGATGGTGCGTTCCTATAAATACTTAGCCATGTTTGTTTAGAGTAGATAAGCATCTTTGGGAAAATACCACAATGTTGACTTAAGTTTGTGCCCCAACCCGCCCCATCCACCCCTCTGCCCCCCACCCTGCTGGTGCCCACAGTCCTCCTTTTCTAAACATACAGAACTTTTCAATGAAGGAGAGTTGAATGCCACAGCTTTGTGTGTGTGTGTGTGTGTGTGTGTGTGTGTGTGTGTGTGTGTGTGTGTGTGTGAAAGAGAGTGAGTGAGAGTGAGAGAGAATTTGTTACGCACTGCATTTGTGTCAATAGGATATGTGCTGAATTTGCTTTACTTAGGCTGTTCTGTCACTTGCAGGGTCAATTTAACTGAACTTAGTGGGGAGAAGTGGAGAAAGAGAGAGAGAGAGAATGAGAGAGAGAGAGAGAGAGAGAGAGAGAGAGAGAGAGAGTGAGAGAGAGAGAGAGAGAGGGAGAATGGATCTTAAAGGCAGTCACAGTTCTTTTGCAACAATAGCGCTCACAAAGCACTCCAATAGATTTGGACCCTGAATGAGACTTTTATCCCTACTCTATTCCACAGAGATTCAGAAAGAAAAAGACAGAGAAAGAAGGAGAGAAAGAAACTGATGTGTAGTGGCTCAGTGAAGAGTACCATAGTTCTCAAAGCCTGGTGGCACCCTCGCAACTTCTGCTTTTAGAAAAAGAAACAGCTGAAAAACAAAGGCCAAGAAAGAGAGGTATGAAAGTGGCTGCAATTATATTTAGCATGATTGCAACCATGCAGTCTTCTCAAACTTCTCCTGCACCATCCTAGCTGTGTTCCTAGTCCAAATATTACCATTCTTTTGTTTCATGGACAGGCTGTGATGGCTAAGTCTTGATGTAGTCGAGTAGGGCAGCTGGAACACTTCCAAACCATGGCCTCCCTGTGCACCCGGAGAAAGCTCTACTTGTCCACCATGACCTTTGCTACTGATTGTACAAAGAGCATTGTAGAAGGCATATGGAGGCCAGAATGAAATTAGGAGAGAGGACAGGAAAAAGAGATAGAGACCCACCTTTTAAACAATGTGTAACCTCACAAGAAATATGTTCAGAGATTTTCCTAAAGTGGGATTCTGGCCATTTGTGTTGTGTTTAAATGAATATACATTAGAAAGCTTTTGTTATTATAGTTTCAGTTCTTAGCACAGAGTTTACTTACATCAGGCATTGTGAAATCATTACTGGTTCTATGACTTGAAGTATTGATTGTAATGTATTGTACAGCACTTATGTATTTTATCGTATTGCACTGTTCTGTGTTTAACTCTGTCCCTTTTTCACTAGGTGTCAATGACCTTCTGATTCTACCAGTATCTGAGCTTAGGACTGACTTTCTCTCTAACCTATCGGTAGCTAGCGAAGATTCTTTCTCTGGATAGACAAAGCACTTTTTGTAAGTCGCTCTGGATAAGAGCGTCTGCTAAATGATGTAAATGTAAATGTAAATGTAAATGACTTTACCTACTAAAGTAATTAGCTATGAAATGCTGTGCTTTACAGTGATTTTATCACAGGTAAGGGGTGGTACCTGATCTTACCTGTGGTAAAATGACTGCAATACATTGCCTATCATGGCTTAGTGCATTTACAAAAACAGCAACAAAACACAATATTAACATAAATACACAATTAATTCAATAATAAAAGAAATATAGTTCATTTAGAGTAGGCTATCCTTGCTAAGCAATCTTAGCACTGAACAAGGACAAAATCTTTCAGTCACCACCTTTTTTTTGTAATACGCTCAGCAGCTAAGCTCTGCTATCAGTTTAAGATGTTATTCTTTAGTAATCTTTAGAGCATGCTCAAATTTGTCAAAATGAAAACACTTCTCAGTGCAACAGGTTTTCACATCTCTCTGTAGCATGATTATCATAATAGCTTAGCACAAAGACACGCCAACTTATGGGAATGTTTAACAAATTGCCAGGAATTACTCATAGCATTATATCATTTACATATACAGACAGAAACATTCTGATTTGTGATAAATAATATAAAATGTGGCTCCTGAATGGTCTGTTGTTTGGCAGATTGACAAGATTGACAACATTTCTCTAATAAAAAAGGATTTATGGCTGCTTTAATAATGCTGTGTCTGCTGACAGATATTTGACAAAGTCAAAGAAGAGCAGATGCTGAATGTGATGGATGTGCCTCTGCGAGCAGTTATAGAAGCATCCTAAACATTTGACTCTTTTTGGAAATTAGCAAATACTGGGGCTGTTCACATATCACTTGCCAGGTATTTAGATTCATGATTTCACTCTCTTCCTCTCTCTTTCTCTCTCTCTCTCTCTCTCTCTCTCTGTCTCTTGCTCTCTCACTCTATTTTTCTATTTAGATCTACCTATGTACAGTGGTATGCAAAAGTTTGGGCATCCCTGGTCAAGTTATGTGTTTTGTTGATTTTCTAAGTGGAAATAAGTACACATCCTCTACAGAGAATACACGTCTGCACATGTTAATGCACAATTACTGTTTATTTGCTGTACTGCGCACTAAAAGTGGCAGAAAAACAGTCCCTATAGAGAATATGTCAGTGTAAATTATTTGCACTTGTCTATGACTGTATACACTCACTAAGCACTTTATAAGGTACACATACCTCATATGTAGACTATATGTCCATTTTATCAGCTCCACTTACCATATAGATGCATGTTGTGATTCTACAATACAAACTGTAGCCCATCTGTTTCTCTGCATACATTGATAACCCCCTTTTACTCTGTTCCTCAATGGTCAGGATCCCCAAAGGAAAGTCATTACCTGGGTGGTGGATCATTCTCACACAGTGACACTGATGTGATGGTGGAGTGTTAATGCATGTTGTGCTAGTAGGAGCTGATCAGACACAGCAGTGCTGCTGGAGTTTTTAAACAGTGTGTCACAGAACGTTGCCCACAGGACACTCTTGGCAGAATATTTGTGGTTGGTGGACTATTCTCAGGCCAGCAGTGACACTGATGTGTTAAACACTCTAGCTGCACTGCTGTGTCTGATCCACTCGTACTAGCGCAACACACAATAACACAGCACTACCATGTCAGTGTCACTGCAGTGCTAAAAATGGTCCACCATCCAAATAATACCTGCTCTGTGGTGGTCCTGACCTTTGATGAACAGGGTAAAAGGGGGCTACCAAAATATGCAAAGAAAGATGGACTACCGTCTGCAATTGTAGAACTACAAAGTGCACCTATATGGTAAGTGGAGCTGATAAAATGGACAATGAGTTTAGATACAAGGTAGGTGGTAACTAATAAAGTGCTCAGTGAGTGTATATCATGTACTGTAAATACAATGACTACAATGTGTAAAACATTCTGTGATTTGTATATAGTTCATGTAATAAAGATGTGAAAACCTTTTGTTAAAGCTGATATTCT